GCCTGTAATCCTGGCACTTTGGGAAGCCAAGGAGGGAGGATTGCTTGAGCTCAAGAGTTCAAGACCAGCCTGGGCAATATAGTGAGAACTTGTCGTTACCAAAACTTTAAAAAAAAAATCAGCTGGGTGTGGTGGCTTGCACCTGTTGTCCCAGCTACTTGGGAAGCTAAGTTGGGAGGATCATTTATGCCCTGGAGGCAGAGGTTGCAGTGAGCTGAGATCATGCCACTGAACTCCAGCCTGGGCCCACCTGACTTCTGATGGCACCCCAAACTTCTACCTCGATATTCTCCGACAGATTCTTCATAGGTATAAGCTGACCACTAGGGCTGGTCACACGGAGGCCACCAACAGTCCCGCTGACATCGAAGTGGCTTCGGGCTGGAAAGGGGCTCTTTGGGAAACTCATCATCTGAAACCGAGAGCAAGGAGTGTTGGCCAAGGCCCCTGAGAAGCTGGCGGGTGAAAGGCAAGGTCCTCAGACTCAAGGAGCAGTAGCCCTGGCGTGTGGGGCAGGTGGGGCCTACCTTCCGCTGCCGCTGCTTCCCCTGGCATGTTTCCAGCGTCAGGGCTGAGGCCGCAGAGAGCCTGCCCTAGAGGACCCAGATCAGACTTGCTTTGGCTGAGCAATGACTGGACTGTAAAACCATCCAAGTCTTTTTTTTTTTTTTTTTTTCTTTTTTACACAGAGTCTCGCTCTGTCACCCCGGCTGGAGTGTAATGGCACAATCTCTGCTCACTGCAACCTCCGCCTTCCGGGTTCAAGCGATTCCCCTGCCTCAGCCTCCTGACTAGCTGGGATTACAGGTGTGTACCACCACACCCGGCTAATTTTGTATTTTTAGTAGAGATGGGGTTTCATCATGTTGACTAGGCTGGTCTCGAACTCCTGACCTCAGGTGATCCGCCCTCCTCAGCCTCCCCATCCCAGTCTTTCTTCCCCAAAAGCCAGTAAGTCTTTAAGAGAAACACATTTGCTTTCATTAGGGCTCAGGGAGTACACGGTCAGATGTGCTTTAATTTGTGGATGGAAAAGAGCCTGGGTTGGCCATTTCCAAGTTATGGCACTAAGCTGGAAGAGCTTTATTTCCAGTGACTACCTGAATCAAGGCTGTTGGAGAATTTTGCAACACAATGGAAAGAGGGTGAATCTGGGAGCCCAGAGGTCTGGGTCTGAAGCCCGGCAGAGCCACTTACTTGTGGCTTTGCAAAAATCATTGAAGCTCACAGGCACAGTGGGCACCATCATACTCAACACAAATGAGCAAATGCCCGTGAAAGTGCTCTGCAAACTGTAAAGGCAGTCCCCAAGGACGCTACTACTGTTGTTACCTTTATATCCACAGGCTCCTGGCCGTCCTCCAGAGAGCCGAGCAAGGAGGCAGTGGGCAGCACGAAGGTTGCAGAATCTGCAGCATCCGTGCGCAGGGAGGAGCCTTGCCAACTCCAGGGTTGTATTCTGGCCACAAGGTGAGAACAGAAGTGGCAGGGGAGGGAGGAGAAAGTCAGTGTCGAGGAAGACCCCACACCTCCTCCACTACTGGGAGCCCAGCTTCACCATCAGAGTGGGGGTGTGTTTGGATCCCTATAGGTGGTTCAGCATGTTTGTTTCAGCAGAAGCAGCACAAGAGGCAGCTAGACTGGAGGCTCCTTGAGGGTGGGGCTTTGCCAGCCTTGTTTACTGCTATACCTCCAATGTCTACAGCAGCGCCTGGCATATAACAGGTAGTCCATCAATATTTTCATTGAATGAATAAATGAGCTTGGACGCAGATTTTTCTCCAGGGTTATCTTCCCTTCCTACCTTGACCTCTGATGCCATGTCTTGACCCAGCCCCATCTTTTCTGGTCTTTGACTTTGCCCCTTTCTGATTGTGTTGAGGACCCCATTTCAGATCGTTCCTCTAATCAGGATACTGCTTTGGGAAACTGTCTCTGAGATCTAAGAGGGAAACCCTGGCAGGAGGAACCGAGGCTTGGGGCAAGGGGTCCCAGTGTTGCCAGCAGCATTGTCCAGCTCCTGCTTGTCAGGTGGAGGAATGGATGGTGTGGAGCATCCCAGGTATGGCGTCAGTGCTCCATGAGCCCTGTGTGTGTGTGTGTGTGTCTGTGTGTGTGTGTGTGTGTGTGTGTATGAGCCCAAGGTAAGTGGATCTTGAATTCCTACAGGCCCAAGGAGCAGCGGCTGGCCAGACACACGCAGGGCATGGTTAACAGAAGTCTGGTCCTATTCATTCAGTCCCCTCGCCTGCACAGCTGCCATGTGACCATCTCTCAGGACTCCTTCAGGTGGATCTAACACTGGGCTTGGCCCCAGGCATGGAGGCAACTCCATGCCTCCCTTCCTGTGCTGTGCAAACACTCAACATGGTGACAAGGGGACCTTCTCTCAGTGGAAAGCCCTTCCCAGCTCTAGGTCCCATCACTTCTCCTTCTTCAAGTCTGGTCTCCTGAGCTCTGCCTAGCACAAGGTTTTGGAGTGCGGGTGTGGAATGAGCCAGGTTAGGGGATGAGCTTTCTTGGGGACCCATGGTGTAGCTGGTTTGTACCTGTTTGTGTACACAGAGATGGAGGGGGTGGCCAGCACGGCTGGAAAGTCCCCCGGAAGTTTTCCCAGCAGGAGGGCGGTCTGCACATGCTCCACAATTCCAAGCAGCCGCGGCACTGTGGCACTCTGGAAAAGGAGGCAGGAGGATATTGCTATGGACCTGCTCCCATATACCATCTTTGGTTACTGTCACCAGGCCAATGTGGGACCTTCAGGAGGGATTGGGAGAGGACAGAGAGGAGGGAGAAAGACGGCCTCGGAGGTGGCCCAAAAGCAGCACTCATAAAGTTTCCAGACTGGCTTCTGTGAGCCCATTCCATCCTCACAGTAACTTGGTGTGGCAGGGGCTTCACTAGCTCCATTGGACAGAAGGGGGATGGAGGCACAGAGAGGACAGGAGACTGTGGGAGGTCACACACTGATAAGGGGAAGAGCTGGGACTCATGGCGAAGCATATGGCTACAGAGTCTGTGTGCTGAGCTATCAGGCAATGTGGCTGTCTGGGCTGCTGACATCTGCCAGCACCCTATGGCTTGTTCCAGGGGAAATGGACAGCTGAGAGTAAGGCCATTCACCAGGTCTCCTGGGCTTCGAATCTGCTCCCCACCCATCCCAACTCCGAGATGAGATGCATCCTGACACCACGGCTGGTGCGGGGACCCAGGAAGGGCGGGATGTTTGCACAGAATTCCTATGGGGGCACAAATCGTATGTGTGTGTGTGCGCATGTGTGCACGCACATGAACACACAAGTGTGAGGGTGATGTCACTGCATGTGAATGGCAGTGTTTGAGCGTGTGTAAGTGTGCGTGAATGTGAGCGTGGTCCTGAGCATGTATGTGCGTACAGTGTTTGAGTGTGCATAGGTGATTGCATGATTATGGAGCGTGCAACCATATGTGGCAGTCTGTGAGTATGTGAGTACATGTGACTGCATGGCCCTGTGTGAAGATGTGTACGTGTAAATGTGTACCTTTGTGCAAAAGTGTGTTCTTCAGGCCATGTGAGAGTGTGAGGCCTCTCAGTGTGCGTGTGAGCTTGCACGTGAGTGTGAGAGTGGTCCCTGTTTTTGTGTGTGAGTGTGTTTGTGGAGATTGAGTGTGTCTGAGTATGTGTGTGTGTGCATCCAAGCATCTTTGTGTGTTGTGTGTCTTTCACTTCTTCCTGAATAGAGGTGATGGCCCCATGTGACAAAGAACTGTGCAACAGCAAGAAATGGGTTTTGTGGCTCTGTCATTATGCCATCTAGGAGGCTATGTCCCCACCAGGATGCTGGGGCCACGTGAGACAGTGCTACAACCTATTCTTACTCTGGCAGCTGCCTCTCTTCTGTGTTTTTGGTAAAATGAGCCAGGGGTTTACCTAGACCTCCTAGGGGGTCCATATGATCTCCCCATTTGGTAGCTTATTTGGGATGAAGCAGAGTGCCTTGATTTACACATGAGGAAAAGAGGCTTAGGTAAACTCTGTATCTTGCCCAGGTCACAAGCCTCCTAAGTGACAGAGGCAGGATTCAAACTCAGGCTGTCTCATTCCAGAGCCTGTGATTTGCCCACCACTCCACACTGCCTCCCAGAAGCCCTGCTCTCTGGAAATTTTCTTACAGCTCTCAGGGCAACACTTTAACCTCTGTGCCTCAGTTTCCTCATCTGCAAGATGGGGGGAAAAGCTCCACCTAGAAAAGCTGATGTGAGCTAAGCATTCAGTGTGTGTGAGGTCTGCATCTGGCCTGGACACCCACCTGGCTGCCGCTGGCCTCCGCAAGTTCTTCTGATCTGTTGCTCAGGGAAGCTTCCAGCACACTGCCCACAGCCTGAAACAGGTCCCTGGTGGCTGCCTGGCGCCTCTGGTCCTCAGGGCGGGCCTTGGCACTCACTGTCAACAGGGCTTCACTGGCATGCTGTAGAGCCCAGATGGCCTCCCACTGGGTTCACCCAAATAAGGAAAAGCAGTATGAACCCCTGCTTAAGATAAACCATTCCTGTGTCATTCAAGGGACAAGGGAAGCAAGAAAGGGAACAAGCCAGGAAAGAGCTGGGCTAGACCTGGCATGCAAGCTCCCTGTATCTCTGGTTTGAGACCAGGTCCTCCCACCTTACAGTCCTCTAAGATCCTTCAGGAGAGTAGCCTGGTCTGCCTCTGAATCCTTCCCAGGGTGCCCTGCACAGTGCCCAGCACATATTAGGTCTTCAGGAACATTCAATGACTAGGGGATGGATGGATGGATGGATAGATGAAGGATGGATAGGCAGTTGGATAAACGGATGTATGGATGATAGGTGGATGGGTGGAAAATGGATGGATGGAGGATGAATGAATGGGTGGATAGAGGATGAATGGGTGATGAATGGACAGATGGATGGGTGGGTGGATGGATGGTAGATGGATGGATGGGTGGATGGTGGGTGGATGGATGAGTGGTAGGTGGACGGATGGATGGATGGAGAATGGAGGATGGCTAAGTGGGTGGGTGGATAGATGGATGGATGATAGGTGGATGGATGAATGGGTGGAAGATAAATGGATGAAGGATGGATGAATGATGGATGAATAGATGGGTTGATGGTAGATGAATGAATAGGTGGATGGTTGTGTGGGTGGGTGGGTGGATGGATGCAGTACATATTCAAATTTTGTAGTTTTATATGTATTTGTGAAATTATTTGTCTAATGTCTGGCTCTCTCAGTAGTCTGAAAGGACCATAATGGCAGGTGCCATGTCTACATGATTTGCTGCTGAATTCTCAACGAGTTGCACACTACCTGGCACATAATTGACATTCAGGAAGCATTTGTTAAATGAATGATGAAATTAATGCATGCATGAATGGATAGAAGGATAGAGTGGAGGATGTGTACAGGTACATGTGTATACAGTGTATATGCATGCAAATAGATGGATTAGCAAATGGATGTGTAAATGGAAAGTGTCATATCATGAATAAGCCCCAGAATCAAGACCAGCCTTGTTAGCTTCAGGCTGGAAGATTTTAGGGGCACAACCTCCCACCAGAGTGGGTGGGTCAAAGCCAGGACAGTTCTCTCCTCTTCTGTTTTTTTTTTGTTGGTTTATTTTTGAGGCAGAGTCTTACTCTGTTGCCCAGGCTGGAGTGCAGTAACGCAAGCATGGCTCACTGTAACCTCGAACTCCTGGGCTCAAGTGATCCTTATGCCTCAGCCTCCTGAGTAGCTGGGACTACAGGTATATGCCAGTATTTAGGCTTTTTATTTTTTATTTTTTATTTTTTTGGTAGAGATGTGGTTTCCTTATCTTGCACAGACTGGGCCTGAACTCTAGGGATCAAGTGATCCCACTGCCTCAGGCTCCCTAAGTGCTGACCCACTTTCCCTGTTTTTAGGGCTTCTTTTTATTGTTATTTTTTTCATAGAGTTTTGCTTTGTCACCCATGCTGGAGTGCAGTGGCACAATCGCGGCTCACTGCAGCCTTGACCTTCTGGGCTCAGTTGATCCTCCCACCTCAACCTCCCTAGTATCTAGGACTACAGGCGTGCACCATGATGCCCAACCAATTTTGTTTTGCTTTGTTTTTTTTTGTTTGTTTTTTGAGACTGAGTCTCTATCACCCAGGCTGGAGTGCAGTGGCACGATCTCAGCTCACTGCAACCTCCACCTCCCGGGTTGAAGCGATACTCCTGCCTCAACCTCCCAAGTAGCTGGGACTACAGGCGCATACCACCACGCCCAGCTAATTTTTGTATTTTTAATAGAAATGGGGTTTCACCATGTTGGCCAGGCTGGTCTCAAACTCCTGACCTCAGGCAATCCACCTGCCTCGGCCTCCCAAAGTGCTGGGATTACAGGCATGAGCCACCGTGCCTGGCCTTTGTTTTGTTTTTGAAGGGATGAGGTCTCACTATGTTGCTCAGACTGGTCTCAAATTCCTGGCCTCAAGCGATCCTCCTGCCTCTGCCTCCCAAAATGCTGGGATTACAGGCATCAGCCACCGCACATGGCCTATGGCTTCTTTTTTAACCCTTGGCTGTCAGAACCCTGGGAACATGGTGTTTTAATTTGAGTTCTCCAAGAAGCAGATCCTGGAGCAAGGATTTGAGAGCAAGTCATTTATTTGGAGATAATCCCAAGAAACACTTGTGGGGAGTAGGGGGTGTGAGACAGGGAAGGGTGGAAGCCAGTACAGGAGTGTGATCAAGCCCATTACCTGGGATTCACTCCTGCTTGGGATTATCCATCAAGAGGGTTGAGGGAGGTGGGGTATTTATACACCAGCTCCATTAGTCACTGAACACTGCATGAATTTGCAGCCATATGGGCAGGTAGAGTAGGCTCTGAGGGTCAGAGAAGACCCCCAGAAGGGTAAGGAAGGGCAGGAGCTAGCAGCCAGATGTCAGGCTGGCATGCACTGAAGTTGAGAACATGAGCAGTCAGTAGCAGTGACTGGACTCACACTTGGCCACCCAAATATTAATGAGATTCAGTTACTCCCTCAAGTTGCTCACCAGCAGATGGGGGAGTGAGAGTCTGGGCAAACAGGCCCTCTCACCCAGCATGAGATACATGGGCTGCAGGAGGGGTGCCTTTCCATGAATCACCCATGCAGGACCCCTGGAAAGAAGATGGCAGAGGTCTTGGGAGCCCCAGGAGAGCCCTGTGACCAAGGGGCCCCTTCAACCTATGCTGATCACCCATCTGCCATGGAGGAGTGTGTCCCACGGTAGCCTCCGTAGATGGAAGCTACTCACCTGGGCCGAGGGTGTGAGTTCCCTACTCCGGCGGGTCACCTCTCTCAGCACCTCGGCCAGCTCCTGCACCCTCTGCATGTCCTCCAAG